AGGGTTAGGCAGGAGCAGAGGATGCTGGAGCGTGGCTCTTCGTCAGGGACTGTAGCAGTAGGACAAGGGGTGATGGGTTTAAACTGAAACAGGGGAAGTTCAGGTTAGACCTAAGACAGAAGTTGTTACGTGTGAGGGTGCTGAGGTGCTGGCACAGGGTGCCCAGAGAAGCTGTGGCTGCCCCATCCCTGGCAGTGTTCAAGGCCAGGTTGGACACAGGGGCTTGGAGCAACCTGCTCTAGTGGAAGGTGTCCCTGCCCGGGGCAGGGGTTGGAGCTGGAGGAGCTTTAAGGTCCCTTCAACCCAAACTCTTCTGTGGTTGTATGAGTGTGTTGGGAGCGGAGCTCACACCACGCTCTGACCCGCTGACCCGTGTCTGGCAGCTCTGGCCGTGGGGGGGGCTGTCTGTCTCTCTCCAGTGGATTTTCTCTCTTTTAATCTCTTGGCATTCTGGATGGAAGCATCATTGTGGGCACAATCTGTGCAGCTTGGCCAGCCCGGGCCATGCAGGGTGAGGAGGGCTGAAGCTGCTCACCCCTGTCCCCAGCCTGGCATCCCTCCTCCCTTGCTGCCTTCAGTACCTTGTCCAGGCCATCCCATGCCGGGATGTTCACCCCGGTGGGGAGAACATCCATGTCCACAGCCCCTGCAGGCCATGGGGCATAGCAAGAGGTTTGCACTCTTTGCAGATCTGGGAGCTTTGGATCCACAGGGTCCCTTCCCCAGTGCTGGGAGCAGCCTGTGTGTCACCCACCATTACAGCTTGATGGGGATGTCTTTCAGCAGCCCATCAGATCCCATCCCAGCTGCAAGGAAGCTTTTGCTGAGCTCCTCCAGCTTTGCTGCCCATCTCTTGGCATGTTGAAGGACCAGAGGAGTGACATATCCCCAGTTCTAAAGCAAAAAGTGGGGAACAGGCACCTAATCTGACACCTCCTGCTGTCACTCGTGCACCGGTGTTCCTAGCCCCAGTATGATCCACAAGGATGCTCAGGAACTGCTCACTCTTGCTCACAACATGTGCATAACCCAGCAGTGTGCTCACATACACGTGCTGATGGGCTGTGCTGAGCCCGAATTCCCACTGGCTGGAAGAGCACAGCTCTGGGAGAGGCTTGGCCGGCACCATGGAGTCCTGTGGGAATGGGCTCTGTGGTGGGATTCACCCTGGCTGTGGGATGGTCCAAGAGGGGATGGTGCCTGGGCATGGCAGAGGCTGTTGATGGAGGTTTGGGATGCTGTGATTGATTTGGGAGACAACTGATGGGCACAGGGATGACCCCAGCGCTGGAGTGGTCTCTGGGGAAGCGAGTGGGTCTGGAAAGGAGCTCAGGGAGGATTCAGGCCCTGGGGCAATGCTGGAGTGAGGATGTCGGGTGGCAGCAGCCCTGAGGCATGGTGCTGGGCAGAGAGCAGCTATTTAGAGGGACAGTGACTGATTTGGGCTTCTGTGATTGGTCGTTCCCTTCCTCCACATGGCAGCACAGTCGGGTCCTGTCCCGCTGCGGGGTCTCAGCATCACCAGTGACAGCAGCATCCCCCCCAGCCCCCAGGCTAGAAACCAAGCAGCTTAAAAAGCTCTTGGGGGGGATGTCAGCTATTGCCAGAGGTTTCACTTTGAGCAGAGCATTTGCTTCAACCTAAATCTTAACATTTTGCTTCCGTTTGAAGGGGTTTGATTTGTTGAACTTGAACATGAAAGTGGATTTCATGCTGTAAAACGTCTCTCAGCCCCCAGTGAGATTTGGGTTGTTAATGCTCAGTCAAATCCCCCTCAGCTGCTTTGGAAACCCTTCTGCTTTTCACGTTCTTCTCGACACTGTGAAACTGGCGTCAAGTCAGGAAGAGGTTCCACATTTGCATTTTTCTCCCCAAAATTCCCCAGCTGCGGAATGTCACTTAGTCCTGGCACCACTCAGTGACTGGGAAAGTAACTGGGAGCAAAAGGAGGGTGCTCCTGGGCTAACCCGGGTGCTGCGCTTTCATTTCCTAAGGGAAAATGAACTCTCCTGCACCCCAGGAGCCTCAGAGCGAGTTTCCTTTCCCTTCCGACACAGTCACAAACACGACTGCTCTGTTTCTGAGGAGCCCATCGCATCCCAAAGGATGTGCTGGCTCTGCTTTGGCACTGCCCTGTGCATGGCTCTTCCTTGCTGGCTGTCACCTCCCTGGAGGGAGCAGTGACTGGAGCAAGAACTGGTGGTACCAGGCACATCTCCTGCAGTGCCCCATCTCTCTCAGCTGGGATTTGGACTGTGGGAGTGTCCCACAAGAAGCTTGATGGGGCCCCACATACTGGACTGGGGCAGCTCTTGCTCTTTGGAAGGAGATTTTGGATGATGCCAGGTCCTGAGGCTATGGCAGAGGCAGGCTGGGGGCCGGGGTACTCATCCTGGCTGACTGTGGCTTTGTGGTGAGCTTTAGCCTGATGGGATCCTCTAAGGTGGGTGTTGCAGATGATGCTGGGCAGCATCAAGGGGATGCTCTGGTGGCCTTGGCTGGGATGCTTCGAATGCCATCGAGCACCTCTGGAGCTGTTGAGCAGTTTCTTGTGTTGTTGGATGTCAAACCAAGTGGATAAATATTGGGATGTTGCATTCTCCCTTGCCCAAAGCACTTGGGGAAGGCAGCAATAGGTCACCTCCCAGCCTGGTTACGCTTCTCCGCTGATTTCTCAGTGTTCCTCTTGGTGTCACCATCTCTCACTGGTTGGGTTGGGACGGGAGATGCTCTGTCTGGGGATCCCGGCAGAGGTCTCCATCCCGCTCTCCCCGCTCACTTCCGTGCCCTGATTCCTGCAGGAGTTTGCCACACTGACACGGGAGCTCAGTGCGTGCCGGGAGCAGCTCCTGGAGAGGGAAGAGGAGATCTCGGAGCTGAAAGCCGAGCGCAATAACACCCGGGTAAGCACATGGAACCTGCTGCCTGGCTTCCAGGCCTCGGGAATGCGGGACGCTGCCGGGCTGACAGCGGCGTTGACAGCCCCACTGTGAGACCCTCCTTCCCTCCTCTTGCAGCTCTTGCTGGAGCACTTGGAGTGCCTGGTGTCAAGGCATGAGCGGTCCCTGAGGATGACCGTGGTCAAGCGTCAGGCCCAGTCGCCGTCCGGGGTCTCCAGTGAGGTCGAGGTGCTCAAGGCGCTCAAGTCACTCTTTGAGCACCACAAGGCACTAGATGAAAAGGTGAGAGAGGCTCCGAGCCCTCCTTCTCCCAACCCTCCTCCTCCCTCCCACTGGGTGCTGTTCTTCCTCTTAAGCTGGGTGGTGACATGGGGTCCCTCAGGAGGAAGGCATTTGGGTATCCAAAAGCTGCAGCACCCTCATTTTAGGAACTGGTGGGGCTGCCGAGGGGAAGCTGTGGGTTTGAGGCTGTTGGGGATGGGGAACTTGCTTCCCTGGGTCACTCGTGGTGATGAGGAGTGCTGGCGTTTGGTACCCTGGTTCAGTCGTTGTGTTACAGCTCTTGTTGTTCCTCTTGATTCATTTGCCTCAAACATCTCCTTCCTCTGCTAAAAGATGCCCTCAGGCTGGCCTGGCCACAGGTCTCCAAGTCAGCTTGGCTCAGCCTGTTCCTCTCCAACTGGAGCATCCCTGAGCCTGTTCCCTGCATCCAAATCCACCTGAGCCTGGCTGCAGCCAGACAACAGGGTCTGGGAGCTGGTGCAGATCCTGAGCACCCACATCACAGATAAGTGATGGCCTTTCCCATTGTCTTACCCACCTGCAGGTCAGGGAACGCTTGCGAGCAGCCTTAGAGCGAGTGGCAACCTTGGAGGAGCAGCTCGTGGATGCCCATCGGCAGGTAAGGGGTGTTTGGGCAGCCAACCCTGGGCTCTTGGTGGGCACCCACTGGGCTGGGACTGCACCGTGTCATGACTGTGAATTCCAGCTGAATTTGCTGGAATAGCACCCTCAAAACATGGTGCAGATCAGAGAAATGGCATTTGGGCATTTTTAATGTGAGGCTTTAAACTTGCCCTTCACCTGAAGCATCGGCTGTGTTGAAGTGAATACTCTGAAAACCTTTGTCTCCAGGCCAGGTTTCCTCTGCTCTTCTGCTCTTTGTTGTTCATACACTGATAAAGCCACCTGAACTTGAACCATTTCAGGGGGCTGAGAGCAACTTGGGATTCCCTGTGCCTCAGCAGAGCCCCAAACCTCGCAGCTCCCAGCACCTCATCTCCTTCCTTGCTGGAGCCCTGACGTGGGGACCTTGCTGTCCCCAACCCCATGTCGTCGTAGAGATGTTAACCCTGTTTTCCTTCCTGAAGTTTGTGCCCAGCCACTCCTGCCAAAGGGAAGGAACCATCCTCATAGCCTCTGCTTGGCCAAAGTTTGCTCCTGTTTCCCATTCCCGAGCTGTCTCCTGGTACTTCCCCAGGCTCAGTGGGGAAGTTGGTCACTTGCAGGGACCTTTCCCCATCCTCTCCCAGCAGAGCAGGGGGTGATGTCAGTGTTTATCCCCTGCTCCTGTTGCCTGTATCTGTGTTGGGTTCAGAGTCTTTCTGGCTGCAAATGAGTGAGGAGGGAGTCCTGGGATGCAGGGCTCGGGTCCCTGAGGGCTCACTAGGAAAACCTCAACGCTGGGGCTCAGGCTCTTGCTGTACTTTAGCAAGCATCGTCCTATCCATGTAAAACAAACAGGCTTCATCCTCCACCAGTGCTGAGCCTTCACAGCATCTCTGCCTTCCCTTTCCCCCTGTCCCTCCAGCTCCTCCCTGTCCACAGGCACCAGCTCAGTGTAACAGTGGAGGAAACCAGCGGGAAGCCAGTTGCAGACCTGGGTGCACCAGGGCTGTCCCCACCAGAGGCTGGTCAGGCTGGTCTCATCTGCTGTCCCTCATTGAGGAATGCCTGTTCTCGTGCAGGTGGCAGCTCTGCAGCAAGGTGCTGTGCGGGAGGCCCCGCTGGGAGAGCGGGATGAGAGGGAGCCCAAGGAGCCAGCGCAGAAGCTTCCCTGGAAGGTGAGAGCCCTGGAACCCCCTGCTCTGACCATGCTCACTGAGGCCGTCGTGTGTCCAACCCCCTTGTGGCTGGCTCCAGGCTGCTGAAAACCTTTTCCTCTCTCCCCTGGTTCAGCTCCCTGGGAAATGCCCTTCCTGGGGGATACAGGCTGTATCTGAGCAGAAGGGAATTTGTGCTCCCGCTCGGATTCTCCATGGGGCTGTGATTCCCAGAGATGCTTTGGGAAGCCCTCAGCCGTCCCTATTCCGTGTGAGAAGCTGCATCCCTGGATAGCAGAGACTGTTGACAGAGGGTCTCAGAGCCCTATGTCCCCACTCCTCACCACCCCACCGGGTCCCTGCAGGGCCGTGTTCCCCCATTGCCAGCCCATGCTCTGGGGCAGCCCCGCATCCGCCTCCCTCTCTGCTGCCTTGCAG